AAATAAGAAATAATATTAGATAAAAAAAAGCTTTTAAAATAAAATAACCCATTGATCTTAACAAAGGGCTTAATTCGATTTAAATCCAGTTCTACAGAGCATGTGGGGAACAAAGCCCCCCAACATTTGGAAAAATTATTGCGTCCGGCATCCCGGATGTAGCTCTGCATCCGGACAACGAAAGCGATTAATCTTCTCTGGGAGGGACAAAAAAAATATCACACCAAAATGTATCGCACAAAGAGTATGGTGCAATAATTTCTCCTACATTTGAGATGCCTTTTATATCATTTATTTAATGTCACATCATTTCCTGTTATTATTTTCTTATTAACTCTCCAGCCCCAAATCCTAACAAAAGTAAAATTTAAAAAAAAAAACAACAAAGAAACAAACAAAAAGCACGGATCCACTTCTGCCGCAGACCTACGACATGGCATTGAGACCATAAATAAACAATTAGTTAAAGGGGGGCTCAAGATAGGCCCAAATTAGGCTAGACAAGACGAAATGGTCTAAATAAAGTCAGCCGCTCCGGTTTTCCACATTTCCTTGCATGGTCACCTCGTAGGAGAAATAGGAGCCACCGCATGCATATCTATTAATAAATAAGTGAAATGTCAAAATATTATCAATTATTTATATAGGGTCTTTTTAATTCCAAATTTAATAGAAATATCAAAATAATTAACACTTTTTAAATTATAGTTGAAATAATTTTCATGGAGGACTACTATTATAGCTCAAATTTAAAATGATCTTTGAATATTTTAACGCTTCCGTAGACTCTATGACTACTATTCATTTGGGGCAATGGTGCAGTGCCGCATTGTTGTTTTTTTGTTTAGTTTGCTACTTTGTCTGTTTATCAAAAATATGCATCTGTTAAAAAGTTGTGGTATGATATTTTCAATATATATATATATATATATATATATATATAAATTGGCGTGCTTTCTTTGCAGCAGCTTCACAGTTACAATTGTTTTTTTGAATAGATGTGGTTGCTTCAAGTATAGCTTAAAAAATGATCTCATGTAAATATTCAAGGACTATTTAAACATTTTACTCATTAACATATATATATATATATATATATA